AATGTAAGATAAATATTTTATCTGCATACATTTGAAATTTCGTGCTATGAATTGAAATCATTATTGACTTCAAATACGAAATTAGTTAATAAGAGTCATTTAAAGTAATAGGTAAATGTATCGAAATAATTTGTTGTTTTCATAAGAATTTTAAAAAAATAATAATAAATGCAAAGCCATAATTTCGGCTGTAAGGCACAAATTAAGGAAGATGTGAAGAATGAACACCAGTAAAGAAGAATTTCAATTTAAGAAGGCAAACTGTGTTACTAAATGGTGTGGTATAATAAATTACGTAATGATATAATGAACAAACGAGGCAAATATAAATAATATTCATTTACCCATCGGAATTAGAAGTAAATTTGCTTAATTTCAGGTTTATTGGCTTGAGGGGGCTAGAATCAATGCTGAGGGTCGTAGTCATAAGTAAATCATTGTTCTTTACATCAGCAGGTCGAGACAATCGTGAATGCCTGTCAAGAGCTTGAGCAATGCAATCCCCAATCAATTCAGCCGTGGCCTCGCCAGACGTAATCATCAGCTCCGACTGCATCTCGGAAGCCGCAGTTGGTCTCGAATCTGAGTTAGGTGACAGCAAGTCCTTGATCTGACTAATCAAGGAGTCAGTGGTCACAGTTTGAGGTAGATGGCGAAGTTTACGTACTACGTGGACATGCCCAAGCAGGTCGGCTTTTAAACTGCGGATGGGTCTAGTGTCCATGGGACCAGACGATAAACTAAAGTGAATTAGCCTATCCAGACTGGAGAAGTTAGAAAGAGTCGTCGACTTGTCATAAGATAAGTAAAGAGACGATAAATTGGGTAGACTTAAGGAGAGATGCCGGCGGGTAAGTCGGGTACCTTTGGACATTGATGTATCCTTTGTATTTTCTATAGTAACGGATTAGTCGGAATAAACGAAAATAGACAATTGAAAAATGAGGATAATATATTACAAATAAGTGTTTAATTAATTAAAGAATTAGATAATTAATTTGAGAGTTTTTTTTTAAAGCGCATTTAAAAAATAGTATAAATTATAATCAAGTAAAGAGAAAAATGAAATTAGCAGTGAAATTTAATTATCATATTGAAAAAGACAATTTAATTAATTGGCATATATCAGTTAGAAGAGCGATTCGTAGCGCGGAATTATAACATACCAGAGTAGTAGGACGAGATTAAACCGTCCTCTTCTGGTGAAATCGACCTTTGAATCTATTCTTCATGCGCTTTAATACGAAATTAAAGTCCAAGAAATAATGTAATCTCAGGAGATTCATCGAAACCCAGTTACTTATCATATCTACAATGTACCTAAGATTTGATTTCTTGCCAATTGTCGTATCCGTACACTATAACCAAGAAAACTATATCCTAGCAAGTTAATAGAATTAGATTTCTTTTAATTTATATTTATCATAAGGTTGTTCCCATGTGTTGTTTACTCGATAGACGTTGCAATCTACCGACGTACGCAAATAGAGAACTTGCTAAGGTATCTCAGGGTTTTGGTTAAAACTAGATTCAAGGAAAGCATCAACAAACTAAACGAACTAATTAGAACCAAAACTAGGGTTATGAAATCGCTTTTCGAAATTTTGAGTTATGTAGATATCCTTAAATTACAAGATATAGCTGAAGCGTAAGGAGAGGCGACTGACAGAATGATTCGGTGGATACATTATTAGAAACTCCTAAAATTAGGAATTAAAATTCGGTCGAGAAACTTTATGTCTAAGGTAAATCGTAGTAACCATGATTGCAACAGTATCGAGAAGGATAAGGTAATCAATTTAACGAGTATAATTCTGGAGGATAGTTTGGAAGTTCTATTGGAAAAATGATGGAATTCTGCTCTTCCAAATGAAGTAAACAATTCTCTGGACATACTTGTTGAATTAATTAGCTTATGTGATAGATTGCTCGAGGATAAGGAATAGTATTGAGCTGGAGGTGATCCCTCATTTTGACGATATAATTCCGAAAAAGAAAACTTGTCCTCTTAGCAGAGTTTTTAGATATATATGTGGTAATAAGTTAATCGTTAAGAAAGCGGATAAGCCACGTGATGTAGAAAAAAATGCTAGTTTATCTAAATAATACTAAAACATAAATGCCTTTACTGAGAGATGCAAAATAAAAACTGAAAATATAAGCAAAAAGATCTCAAGGTATGTGTAAATAATGATGAAATGGAGAAGTGGAAAATAAATTAACTGCTTCAGAGAGGTACAAGGGTCCCCACGACTTAGGGTCTTCCTAAGGTTCACAACGAGGGCGTCCCTCTAAAATTAATTGTTAATAATAAAGGAAGCGTGATGCATAAAATCTCACTTTTTTATGCATACAATTGAGGAAATCTGTCCATTTTGAGCTATATTCAGTAAAAAATTATAATGATTTGTGAAATCAATTGATCAGCAGACACTATCAGGTGAGGATAGACTAGTAAGTTTTGATGTTGTCTATGTACAAAAATATTCCTGTTCAAGGAGCTATTGAAGCTCTGATACAAATTATGGAGGAGCATCAAGAGACAACACAAGGAATAAGGCTGAGTGTAGCTTCCATAATTAGACTTATTAGCCTATCCATGAGTAGCACATTTTATACCTTTGATGAAAAGCTATACGAACAAAAACAATTACTAGTGTTGGGATCTTACCAGGCTCCTATCTTGGCGAACAATTATATGGCAATACTAGAGGAACACTGCTTGCAAGAGGCAATAATAACCACTAAATTGTTGGGTAGATATAAGGATGACTATTTTTCATATGGCCTCATGGTAAGAGAAGCTTAGATAGTTTCAAACTTTGACTAAACCAACGTGAAAGGAATATTAGGTTCACATTGAAAAAGGAAGAGAATAAGTCCTTACCCTTTTGGATATTCACATCATTAGAGAAGAGGGAAAGTTAGAAGGATATGTTTATAGGAAGCCAATATATGTTGGCTCTGCTTAATTTTCTTTCCAACCATAGTTACAAAGTTAAGGTTGGAATTTTGAAATCAATAATTATTAAGAGTATGAGGCTAGTGGATAGCAAACATTTGACTAGTATTGGAACAGCTGAAAAATTTATTCTTGGAAAATAATAATCCTTTGGGGCTAAGTAAGAATAATATCTTTTTACTGAGGTAAAAAATTTTCAGACGTAGATAATTTAGTCAAAGATAGACAAATTAAGATCATTTTCCATGTTCCATCATGCCTTCCTTCAAAAAATATAGGCGAGTTAGTAAGGAAGTGGAGGATAAAAACTGTGTATAAAGAAATCCTTACACTTTCTTGTCTTATACAATCGTTTAAAGAGAGATATGACCCATTATCGAGATCTGGCTACAAGAAGATTTTTTGCTTATGTGGTCGATGCTATGTTTGTGTGACATGCCGACCTATTCGATAAAGATTGGGGGAACACAAAAATGATTGTAAAGGAAGCTGGGTCCAACAGTTAGAAGTGGACGAACACATGGTAGAAGCTGGACAAGAAATAGAATGGTCTCAAACTAATAGGTTTGCTGATTATGGCGCGTCTGCAATTAAAAGAAAGATAAGAAAGGCTATTGAAATTAATATATTAGAAAATACGTTAAGTGTGAAAATCGGCCACCTGAAAGACAGAGATCAGAATAAAGATAATTAGCAAAATCATTTTATATAGATCTATGTTTTTATATTATCTCTTGCTTAAATGAGACTAGATA